AAAGCCGTGATTCTCCAAACGAGCACTCACACTCTTTGGAGTTGTTCTTTATGTTCAGCTAACACAGCATGAGCTCTGTTCTTCTTGGATTTTTCCTGGTGGCTATCATTCATAGGTCACAAATTGGGACCCTGGCTTTGGTTTTAAATTTGTGAGAGAGAAGAAAAGAGAGGGAGTTGAAGAGAATAACTAATGTCGTATCTGTTTTAATAATAACAAGCCACTAATATAATTTAAACATGAAGGTTTGCCTATATGAATGCAGAAGCTAGGAAGTAGGTTGTTAAAGTCACCATTTAACTTTTAAAATCATATAATTTTAAAAGTTAATATACACTTAACATATAAAATCATTTAAAAAACTTAAAAATTGATAAAATCAGGTTGAAATCACATAAAAACATAATCTCAGGATCATTTTAACGATCTCATCAGAAAACATATACTGCCATAATCCTTGCCTCTAGGCTCCAGTTGTCTAGTAGCTATTGAGCCATTAGCTATTGCGTATTCTTTTATCTTTCTTTCAGATGATAATACACACACAGAGAAAACAAACAAAATTTATATCCTTAAAATTTTAAATTCTTAAATCTAATTTTCTCTCTCTCTATTAATAGCTCATGGCCTTACGCCTTATAACTTTGTCTTCCTCTTCATCAACAACAGTAACACTCTCTTGGTAACAGTTCACGCCGGCCTAGCACCAACTCATGCCTCATGACTTTCTCTTTCCCGTCATTGATGGCTCACGACTTTCTCTTCATAAACAGCGGCAGTGCTTTTTAGTCTTCAGACTATTCACTCTTCATCAACAACGTTCTCCTCTTCAGCCTTCAACAATAACTTACTTTTCAGTCTTCAGACTGTTCACTCTTTATCAACAATAATCTCCTCTTTAGCCTTCAATAACGACTTAATCTTCAGCCTTTATCAACAACGGTTTTTTTTTTCCCATCATCAACGACTTCCTCTATAGTTTACACTGTAAGTTATTCCATTTATAATATCATTTTGTTTGGTTGTTGAGAAAGTTTTGGAAAAAGATGTAACCTTTTTATTACTATATATATGCTGATTAGTTGAACTAAATTTAATTAATTTCTTGATAAATTATTGTGCTTAATATCGGTTTGATTTGCTAATGATTTAGAGGTGATGAAAGCTTAGATTTTGATAGACTAGAAATAGACCGTGATAAGAAAAAATATATGTAACAAGAAATTATTCAAACCAAGAAGAAATTTTAAGGATTTTACAGGCTTTATTATTATTATTATTATTATTATTTGCTTTGGACTAATACATGGGTTGTAAAGTTGATTGTGAACTTTACACCCTTCCTCTTCATCAATATGGTTCTTCCCTGTGAATAAGTTTGTTGATAGAACTGGATTTGCAATTTATGACTAATTAGCTTTGTGGATAGTTTATTGCTTAAAACTACGGTTTTAGTGTTAAATTATATTGTTTATAGTTGAACTTGTTGACAAGAGATGATATCTTTTTTTCTTCTTCTAGATTTCGGTGCTGCAACATGATTATACATGCACTGTGCTAAAGGGATTTATATTACTGATTATAATTATAATCTTCTAAATTATTACTATAATTTTTATAATTGTTTTTGAACTGCTGAATTTTTATTTGAATAATATATTTTAAGATGTTTGAATTATATATTAATTTTTTTATATATAATTTTATAATTGTAGTTTATTTTATGTTTTAGAACAATGCATTTTAAGATGTTTAAATTATATATAAAATTTTTTTTCTTATAATTTTAGTTTATTTTATATTTTAAATTTCGTGTCAAAAATATATTTTTGATAACCTTAGCCAAGAACCTAATAAAATCTCCCGGCATATGTTTGATTTTGTTAATTGATGCTATAATTTCTCATAATAGCTAGCCAAGTAAGCAATAATAAATATCTACAGCACAAAAATGTATTTTAATTTTGTTCCTCTGGTGATGCCAATTGTATGAATAGTTAATATTTCAATTTCATTATTCTTATGTTATATGTAATATTACATAAGAGGTCCAGCTATCGACTTCCTCCTTGTTACTGTCAGCGAGAGACAACTAACCACAAACTTGCATCAAATGATAAATGGATCAGGATCATAACACAATTGACTGGATACTCTCTGGTTATGGTTGACAGACAAAACTGTTAGTCCTTCCCAGCTAATATATTCATCTTATATTCCATTTTCATTGAGCAGAAAGTCCAAACACAAGTCCAGGGAAAAGATTACTTTCACCTGCATGGAAATTAAACAGCAAACTTGGTCTGTTAAATCTTGAATGAAGTTGTTGTTGTTGATACCAAGGACTAGGACTATCATAGAAGGTCCACAGGCCCACACTTCATAAGGTTATTGCCTTTTAAATCCCAATAAACAAGAGCAATTGTCAGAGAAGGAACACTGAAATCAGCCGAGTCCAAGCATCTTTTAGTATTGCCATTTGCAACAAACCCAAAATTCAAAACCAACATAACATAATTGATTAGCACAAAGTCCAATCACAGTCCAAGCATTTTTTAGGCATTTGAGGTCTTTGATTTTGGAGTCTAAAGAGAGAGAGAGATTGGTATTGATCTTCCACTGAACTTCGTTATGTTTATTGGTGTATCTTGACCTTCCTCCATTTTCTTCTGTTTCTTTTCAGTTCTTGATGATGATATTTACGATTCTTTTTCTTCGTTTTGAAGAATTTAGAGGGGGGGGGGGGGGGGTTTCCGCTTGTTTT